GGGGGGGCTCCCATGGGAGCAAAGGGAGGCTCAGCCTTGGCCTCTTTTGTCCCGGACCTGTCCTCCATTTCGGCCTTCTCTCCAGCAGGAATCCCACAGTGTCCTCCATTGAGAGCAGGGCTAAGAGGCCCATTGAGTAGCATCACAGGTGAAGCAATATATATATATATATATATATATAGGTTCAAATCCCAGCTCAGCCATGGAAACCCACTGGGTGACCTTGGGTAAGTCACATCCTCTCAGCCTCAGAGGATAGCCATGGCAAACTCTGCTCTGAGGAAACTGGCCGAGAAAAACCTAATACAGAGTGGGCCCTTAATGTTGCCATAAGTCCAAAATGGCTTGGAGACATACCATGACAACAATAGCAGTCTTTTGTTCAAGCAACGGATGGGAGGCCAAAGGAAGAAGGGAGAGTTGAGGGTGGGGAAAAAAATCCCAGTTGCAAAACAGGATTAGGGTGAGATCTTCTTGGCAAGATTTGTCCAGAGGAGCTTTGCCATTGCCTTCCCCTGAGGCTGAGAGAGTGTGACTTGCCCAAGGTCACCCAGTGGGCTCCTGCCTGTCTGCATTGTCAGGCAAGAGAGCAGAGACACACAAAGTGAATGGAAGGTGCATGAAAAGGGCAGTGGGTGCCCCCTGGTGGTCAACAAAAAGAAGAGAATTTATTCCAGAGGAGGAAGAGGTGTTGTTTGGTTATTGTTGTTGTTGTTGTTGTTGTTGTTGTTGTTGTTGTTGTGTGCCTTCAAGTCATTTCTGACTTATGGCGACCCTATTATGGGGTGTTCTTGGCAAGTTTCTTCAGAAGGGTTTTTCCAGTGCTGCCCTCTGAGGCTGAGAGAGTGTGACTTGCCCAGGGTCACCCAGTGGGTTTTAATGGAGAACATTTTGGAATTCCTCCTGGAGAGAAGGTTGGAATGTAGGACAGGTTGGGGAAAAGGAGGACCTCTGGGTCACCCTGGGCATATACTATACAGCCTAAGTATGCTAAAAGGCCCCCTATACTGTCTGATCTTGGAAGCTAGGCAGGGTCGGCCTTGGTTGGTACTTGGATGGGAGACTGCAACCACCTCTGACTATTCCTGTGAAATTCATGAAGATCTCCATAAGTTCATAGGGAACTTGAAAACACATCGAAGCCAAACTGAATTTAATGTGAAGTGAACTTCTGCATAGAGTATTTTATAGGATTATAGTGTTTGCCAATACGAGTCACTGCTGCATAGTGGAGTGAATGTTGGATCAGGGCTCCAGGAGACCAGGGTTCGAATCCCTGCACGGCCATAGGAACCCACTGGGTGACCTTGGGCAAGTCACACTCTCTCAGCCTCAGAGGCAGGCAAAGGCAAAGAGCCTGAGAACAAATCTGGCCAAGAAAACCCTAAGAGAAGTTTGTGCTAGGATTGCCACAACAGCCAATATAAGATAGGGTTGTGCTTCTGGTTAATATTTTTAAAAGCTGTACCTAAGGAGACGTAGGCAAAAGAAAAAGTTTTCACTTAACTTTGGTACTTCATAAAGAGCAAGGGGAGCGAGGATATTCATCTCCTTCCTCTCCTTCCATATCCCCCAAAATTGGAATAATTTTACCCATTCTACCATCAAGCAAGGACTGAAGCAGGGAAAAGTGCCACGCAATATTTGTTGAAACAACGCAGTTACTTTATTGAAAACACAGTGGAAAATATTTGTGTACCGCAGGAGAGGTGGAACAATAAACACAGGAGAGGGGAGAAAACATACTACATTTTTTGTCAATATTAGAAGCACGCTATCTTAAAATAGCTCAGCTGTGGCTTACTTATGGTTTTCATTTCTGGCAATTATGGCTTTCTCAATCTCTTTCACTAATTCACACCCCTCTTTTTTGCTGTGTTTTTTTCCCCCTCTCATTAGGAAAAGAAAACTAAATCATAGCTTGGAAATAATTAGTTACATTTAACCAGTTAAAAGCTGATTAGTTACTCCCTTCTGCCCAGCAAGGCTTAATAATGACACTCGCTATCAGAGCATGAAATTACTAGTTACGTTTACTAATTAAAGCTAGCTAAATTTACTTATTGAAATATAAATTCATTTATCCCTCTTCCTCCGGAGGCTGAACTAACAGCATGCACCGTTCCTGGACTGCAAAGAATAAGAGGATTTGACTCATTGTTCATTGCACAGAGGGGTCTCAAGAGGAAGAGGAGGAGGATCACACAGTTCAGTGCCGGCTTGCTTTGACTAAAAGACACTCCAACTACTTGCATCTTGGGAAGAGAAGGGTAAATTGCTGGAGATAGAGATTCTAGAGGAATGGAGTGGTTTGTGTTAAGGAAAGAGAGAGAATGAAGAAAAGAAGGTCTCTCAGCTTTATTTCAAATTTGACTGTATGCCCCTTTTCCTGAACTGGCTGGTCCGTTTTGACTCTTTTTCTCCATACCTAAAGTTCTTTAGTGCATGAGCCAGTGTGATATAGTGGTTTAAATGTTGGATTAAGACTCTGGAGATCAGGGTTCAAATCCCCACTTGGCCCTGAAAACCTACTGGGTGACCTTGGGCAAGTCACACTTTCTCAGCCTCAGAGGATGGGCATGCAAACCCCCTCTGAAAAAGCTTGCCAAGAAAACCCCATGCTAGAGTCGCCTTAGGGAAATGATTTGAAGGCAAACAACACATGCATACACACACATATAAATTTTTTTAATATTTTATTGGTGTCATAAATACATGCAATACAATAAAAAAAAACCTAAACATTAGATTCTCTCTAAGTAGTGTTCTATTTCATAAACAGTATCTGATATCTTCACTTTGGATTTCTTACAATCCTAGTCCTTCCTGCTGAATTTTGAACTTATATTGCTTTTCACCTATAGTCAATGTCTATATGTCATCCCATTAAAGACAGTCCTTAAGTATCAGGTATCATCACAATGTGGATCTGCCTCTCTTTGCAGATTTTCTTCCTTTGACATTCCTTTATCTTGAATTCTTTAAGCTTAAATCAGGGATGGGGATCACGTCCTCTGCATGCTGTATCAACTGCAGCTCCCAGCATTCATCCCCATAGAGCATGCTGGCTAGGGATGATTGGAATTGCAATCCAGCAACGTATGGAGCATTTAATAAAATTCAAGGGACTTCAGATTCCCTCCCCTTACATTTAATTGTTTTTCAGATAAATGAGTCCTAGAGCAAATCAAGCCAGAACTCTCCCTAGTAGATTAAACCAAGACTTTCAGACTTTGGACATATCAGGAGAAGAAAGGACTCAGTAGAAAAGACAATAATGCTTGGTAAGGCAAAAGGCAGGAGGAAAAGAGGAAGATTGAAAAGAAATGGATTCAATCCAGGAAGCCATGGTCCTGAGTCTGCAAGATCTGAGCAGGACTGTTGAAAGCAGAGTGACACCAAAGTCAACATCAATTTGACAGCAACTAACAACTGCAGTTGCTTTTTAGCTCCGAAAAAGGCATATTTTAAAAGCCAAGTGCCAAAATCGGGTAGGGATGGGGATGGGGATGAAAATTAAACATGCACTTCTCTGTCAAATCCATCGTTTCTTTTAAAACGAATGGTTTAATTAATGTTAATGGAACAAATTACATGTCCGCCTTCCTGGTCTTAACACCAATCAATTTAGTTTCCCCTTTTCAACTATCAAATCTATTTTTAATAATAAATCCTAGCTCTGTGCCCGAATAGATTTGGATATTATTTTGCAGCAGAAAAATGGAACGTGCACCAGCAAAATACAAATGTGCATGATTTTTCTGCTGCAAATTAATATCCAAAGCAAACTAAAAAGTTCAGCATGAAGCAATAAGGAGAACAGAATCAAACAGCCAATAGCAACTCACACAGTCTAAAATCATAGAGAAATAAACAGAGCAGTCAATAACCCAGACACATATACCTACATAGACATATGCAAACAGTTCACTAATTCATTGGGAAGGGGGGGGGGAAAATAATGCAAGAGAGACCTGAATACTCGTAAAACCAATTTGTGGAATCAGCAACCCTGTCATTCCGTTAAATCCTTCATATACAAATCTGTAAACATCCCAAATACATTCAGTGCAACTGAAAGCAGCCATATGTAATCTAATAAGGAGGAACATCAATATTTCCAATTAACATATGTTTAGGTTTGCATAGAGTTCACATAATAATCCTTGTTGTGTACACTGCATTCTGTCTGTTTGCATCATGCTCATTTTTGCACTGATCACATACCAACACGGAGGTGTTGGGAAGGGAGGACCACAATCTTATACACACACAACTATACACACACAGAGCTAGCTTGTGCCAGTGCAATCCTATGCACATTCCACTTATGAGTAATCTCCATTGTGTTCCTTCAGAAATGCTCTCAATAAGTGTCTATATGAGCCATGGAATCCCCTCCAGACTTTCACAGGTGAAATCGAAATAAAATAAAATAAAATAAAATGCCAGTTGCTCTGCTATATGAAAATTTTTTTAGATAGGACCTTGTGGGAAAGTGCTGGTGTGTTGTGTGTGCCACACACACTTTCAGATATAGGCCATTTACAGTTGTCCCTCCACATTAGCGGTTTTGACTTTTGTGGATTTGAGATTTGATTAATATGTTCTCTCTAAGAATCTCTAGGTCCTCCAGTGCAATTCTGCCAGAAGTTGACCATAGGGTTGTGCTGGAGAACCTACAAGTCCCTAGAGAAAACATTTTTCTAGGCATTTGTAGGTCCTCAAGTATGATTCTATGATCAACATCTGGCAGATGTTGACCATAGAGTTGCACTGGAGGACCTGGAGATTCCTAGAGAGGTTAAAAAATAGTGGGAGTTTTATTTGCAAATGTTCCACATTCATGGGGTCCTTCACTCCTAACCCCAGCGAATGTGGAGGGATCACTGTAGATACAAAACATCAAGTCCAACAACTGAAGATACACACATACTTTCAAAGACAGCACCATCACCCTGAGATTCCTCCTCTTGACCTTGAGGGCTGGAGAAGTTCTGAAATTCAGGCCCAGGCTCCAAGACCTAGGAACTTGGTTTGTTGTTGTTGTTGTATGCCTTCAAGTCGTTTCCGACTTATGGTGTCCCTATCATGGGGTTTTCTTGGCATGGTTTATTCAGAGGTAGTTTCCCATGCCCTTCCCTGAGGCTGAAAGAGTGTGACTTGCCCAGGTTCACCCAGTGGGTTTCATGGCAGAGCAGAGATTTGAACCCTGGTCTCCAGAGACCTACTCCGACGCTCAAACCAGTACACCATGCTGGTTCTCGGGAACTCAATTACGAGGCCATAAAACTGGGGAGCTAGTTTCCCATACTGATGTGAACAGAGTATTGCCATGCTGGGAGCAGGGCCAATTTTGCAATGGATCCATCGCCAACTGGAAGATGCCATTGACAAGGAAAGCTTATTGAATTGGTGCTCGCTGCCAGTGATCTGAGTTGCCCATTGAATTCTTGCAAGTTGCTATGAAACACAATCAATGTTCATAATGGCTGAATGAGTGAGTGTCTGGAAGGTGTCATTAAAATTAACTCGCTATTTTCCCGCCAGGAGTAATATATTATTAAGATAACAATGTATAAACTAGGATACAGCAACCAACAATTTAGGTAAAGTGATGCCCACCCCTACCTTTTTGTACACCTTTGTGAGTTATAACGCTTTGGAACATTGTCATAAGTTATTGTAGTCTCTTCTCTTCTCTTCTCTTCTCTTCTCTTCTCTTCTCTTCTCTTCTTTTCCTCCTCTCTTCTTTTCCTCCTCTCTTCTCTCTCCAGCAGCTATGAAAATAAGCTTTTAAACCTTCAATTAACTGGACTCCTGCATTAACAGAAATGCGCTATTACACCAACTCCCTCCTGCCAAGAAGAAGTAACAGTGTCTATAGAGAGATGGGCAGGAGGGGAAGATGTGAGAAACTACCTCTGATGCAAAACAAATTGCTCAGAAAAAGCCACGCAAAGCAAGCAAGGGAGGCTCGGCTTTGGCATCATTGCCCTCTTTCCCCCTTTTTTCCTTAGAACAAAAACTCCACACAAGTAAAGCTTCTTTCAAATACTGTTGGTGTGTTTGCACCAGAGGGAGATCTAGATCCAGCCAATCTGGGTTCTTTGAAAAATATGCTGGATTCCGCAACCTACAGTGAACGCAGCCATACCCTTCAACATTTCACTGAGGACATATGTGACCCACCAACCTCAGTGCATTGTCACAATAGCAAAAGTTATTAATGAGGAAGGATAGACAAGCTAGGAAAGGCTTTTGTGGTTTGCTTTTTCCTGGGCCTCTTGGAAAGTGCATGATTCTGCCTACTCCTTCCCTCCCTGCAAGCTCCTTTTGTACTTTCAACTCAGGTTGATGCAGCAATGGAAGTAAGCAGAGGAGAAAGGGGGAAGGTGGGAGGAGAAGGGAAAAACTGGGACATTTTAAAAGCAGTTGGAAAAGTGGAACAGTGGATGATTATCTGGGAATGTCCCTTCCAAATCGGACTATTTGGAAGGTATGTGCATCTCTATTTTAAAAACTCTCGTTTTGCCTGCCTGGTTTCCGGCAACAAGCTAAAACACCCCCACGACCATTTTACTGTAACCACAGCTTAAACTGTATTACATCGACACATCTCAAGAAGTGGAGTGAGATCCATAAAAAGTGCTACTGGATTCCTTCCCTGCCCTTTTCTTTTGTTTTCTTGGTTTACGGAAACATAC